TGTTTTGGCTCCGGGGGTGGGCGGCCGAGGGAGGCCGTGCTGCCGGAGATCCTCGCCGAGGACTTACTGCCCGCCTTCTGCAGGCGCTAAGAGTGTAACGAGAGACTTGACACTAATGCATGCTATGACAAAAAATGATAGCTGCAGTCCTTTAATTTTAACTAGGTCAACCAAAGCAAAGCAATTTGTGTTTGTCCCAAATGTCACCTATGACCTCCTAATACACCATATCTGGGCTGGGGCTCAAATCTGTTTTAATAAAGTTACAGGTAGATGATGCCTTCCAGGTAACTCAGTGTTTACTTTTTGTCCTGTGCTTATTGCTTATGGGAGGTATCAAAATGTCAACTTGTCAAGTATGCAACTGGATTATTTCATTCATAGTTAAGGACCTGATTCTGGTTCTGAAAATGGATACAACCATGGGGTTGACCGCCCTTATTGGAATAACGGTGCTTGAAGTCAGTGAGTGTTGGGCGGTTTTTCCTCCTGCTCTACTGTTACTTCACCACTGCGTGTTTCCATGCTTTTATTGCCATTGCTTGTCATCAAGAAAAAGTTGAAAATTAGCCTGTGTCAGTAGGACTCTCCACAACTTTTGAAACCTTCTTAACTTCCTGCCCTGTTTCCTTTGCCCTTCTGCGTTCTTGCACTAGAGATGTTTCAGGCTGTCCTTCGTAAGTGGAGTTAAAGACACTCCTGTAGGTTTTTGTGGTTTGTTGTGAAATGTTTTATAAGAGAAACCATCTTTGAGTAGAAAGTGCAGGAGAACATGTTTCCTTTCTAGAAGACCACAATAAAAGTAGTAAAATCATTGCGCGTGGGATCAGAGCAATGGAAACAAATTTTAATGGTGCAGTAAATTTTATTTTGCTTAGTATTGTATGGGTAAACATTTACATTTTAAGATTATGTATGAAGTGGATTCCAGGCAAAGTGTGTGATTAGTGGCTTTACTTTTTTAGAAAAGTAGAATTGCTATAAGTATTTTACAATAGTCAATTTTATTCCAGAATAACATCCACAGAGTGAGAAGTTCATGATACAACAGTAGCTGAATAATTACGTCTGTCAGCTTCAACACAGAGGACAAACCCATCACATGCATTTAATAGTCAATTCTTCTAACTTACAACAAGGCTTGTAGCACTGAAAATTTTATGAGGAAATAAACATCAAAAGTCAAAATGAGAAATTTTCACAGGGGGTAAATAAATAATATTGCAAAAAGGGTTTAAATTCACCTGTATCTATTTTTGTGTATCCTTAGTTATCTAAACTGGCTGGTTCTTTTTTGTTTGCTTTGCTTTTCATCTCTGATGTTTTTCATCTCTATGTAGACTCAAGTCAGTGGCCGATTCTCTGGCCTTATGTTCATTGTGAATATTATGAAGAAAATAACGTGGACTGTCTCTGTTTCTCTAGAGGGCTGTGGCCTAGGCTATTTGGATATCGTTGCTCATTGCTTGAGGGTCACAGAGGAAAGGAAAAACTGACTGTGTGTTGAGGTGGTGTTAAATACTGTGCTGAAGCAAAAAGGTGTTGAACTCTGGGCTGCTCCTGTCAGATTTCTGCACCCTTCATCTGTCGTAATAAAATGTTGTGGTGTGCACATGGCCTTTCACAAGAAGAGTGGCATGCCAGTGTGGGATAAACCAGAATGCTTGTTGTGGTATTGATAGGAACGAACGCCTTGAAATGGGTTGGGGTGTTTTGTTTTGTCACTTGTCTTTCTGGAATTAGCTCTTGGATCATAGTGAAAAACTCCTTGACCTTGAAACAGCCTCAGTAAAAATATCCCAGTGTTATCCATAAAAGGATGAAGAACCATTCTGTACCTGATGACAAGGAGAATCATAGTATGGTCACATACACCCATGTGCATAAGCATCCATCAAGTTGAACATCATTTGGCCTCTTGACGTAGAATGTGCACCAGCTCTGAGGGATGTTAGTAGGTCAAGTGGTGGCTTGTCTGGTATGGGATGGGGAGCCTGTCTGTTAGTTGGAATTGCACTCCAAAATGACCCAACTTGTTCTTTATTCTGAATCTCTGAATCTATGCAAAACCACTTGCACTTGTTTTGAAAATGCTTGGAGAGGAATCAGACGTGTGGACTAAATGCAACTTCTTAAGCCATCTTTTTTTTTTTTGTTTTTAGTGTGACATCTTTGAATATTGCCATTGTTTCAGAGCAAGTAAAAAAAGTATTGTGTTCTAATTAGCCATTTCAGTAGGTTATTAGGTAGCTCCATGTAGTTAGGAATGTAGTTTGCAGTATTGTTGATGCTATGAAGATACAGTAGAGAACATCTGTGGCAGGTTCCTGTTCCATTATGCAAATTCACCTTCTTTAAAGTCAGGGTACTAGTTGCTTCTATTTACTGCAGGAAAAAAACTGCTGAATATTTTGCTTGTAATGCTGCTTCTTTAGCAGAAGTTGGAAGGTACCATATTCAATGACTATCCTATCATAGTGCATTTCTAGTTACCTGATCACATGATGGGGTTTTTTGTGAGACTCTTACTAGTTGTTTTGCCAGCCAGGTCTCTAGTCAATATATTTTCTAGTCTTTGGGCTTAAGTGAATGTTCTTATATGTACTGAGAGCTGTTAAATTCCACTTATGCTTTTTTTGTCTGGACCTAAACTGAGTTCTCTTTGCAAAATTCTTCTGCATGTTTGAGTTTGTGTTTCTGAAGTATCATGAATATTCAAAGAGAAATGTTGTTCCTTATCCACTAGTAGGAGAGATGGGGCACAGAACTAAATTGCTGAGTTGTCGGAATGGTCTCTATCCTGGATTCTCAAGTTAAGATGACTGTCCTGATGTTTTATTCCCCCTAATAAGCACCACCTGCACTTTTCAGTGGTGCATTTGTTGTTACTTCACCAAATTTGTCTTCTTCCTTTGTGGTGTGTACATAGAAACTGGGGAACTTGCAATAGTAACCTGTTCTCTAAAATTTTTATTGGAGCAACTTGTATGTGATCAAACAATTAACTAATGAAGCTGAGGTCCTGCAGGTGACAGCTCTTTTTGCTGCAGCTCTGAATGATCCTGCTGTTGTTCTTTGGTCTGTGGAATGAAGTCTAGATCCTCTGCAAAGAGTAGCAGGTGAGTTTTTGTTCATGATGCAGCAGTACAAAGCATACTCAAGTGCCGTTCAGCTCCATTCCATGTCCCTTTCCATGTTTTGATACTCCTGCTGTGATTCAGTCCATGTCAATTAAACATACTATATATAACATAGTGGGTTTTTTCTAATGTTCTGTTCATTTTGAAGCTATCTGGCAGAAAAGAAGCTCCAGTGATGCTATGGGGGCCCACACTTTCCCAATAAGTTGTTTTGTCAATGGGGTTGGAAGCTCTTGCTCTGTAGCAGAGAATACAATAAGGCACACTGTTAGCAGTGAGGTTCTGTATTTCATTTCACACTCTGTAGGTGATTATGGAATAGAAAGGAAAAGGGAGCCAGTACCTGATCCAGATGGCTAGTGCCTTCTCCCCACTCCTATTTTGTCCCACTTCTTTCTCCAGACTTTCGCTTGAACTCCCCCTGTGTTTCATGCTGTTTCCTCCTTTCTCCCTGTCCATGAGAACTGAAAGCAAAAGTCAGAGCTCTGAAAAGGTAGTTTCTCTTTCCACTCTCTTGACCACTCCTAGGCCACTCAGTAACTACTGGAAAACAGGCTAGGCAACAACAGAAGATGACCTTCATTGCATCTGTCACTGATAGCCCTGATTTTGACAAATTTCTACCTAACAGGTCAGCAGAGTCCTCAGGTGGACTTCTACCTTCAGCATCCTTTGCAGGGACAGGTAAAACAATTGCTATGCAGAGATACATTTAACATTTGAGCAAGGCAAAAAGAATAGATGTGCTAGAGCATCTTAAAAGATTGCAGAAGCCTTCTAATAGAAGGGATAACAATGTTTTGTCTATTAGAATTTTAGAAATTGTACCATTTGTACTGGATTTTTAACTATTGAGAATTTTAAACCTTGGTGTGTTTAAAAGCAACTGAAAACTCGAAGAAAGCCAACTAAGTCAGTTGACCAGGCTGACTCAAAGGATCTACATCTTTCATAGAAAAATTAGGCAGAAAAAACTACAGACATTTATCTGTGCATGGTATGCTTAGATACAATACAGTGTAGCAATGTTGAGTGGCACTGTAGAAAAAACATGCTTGAGCAATGCTGCTGTGCCACATAGCAATAAATGATGTTTACAGGGCTATTAAATACATGCAGCAAGTACATGTCCATGTTTTATCTTAGAGGCACTTCAGCTTAGAAAGAAATAATTGTGTAATTTTAGCCGCTATTATTAATGTTGTTACTGTTATTTAGTTATGGAGATTAAAAGTTCATTGACCAAGGATTTAATGATCTAAAACATTTCTGATAACTTTATGCAAGTCTGTAAAAATCTGATTCATTAGGAATTGATGGCAATGTATATAAATTTTTTTCTTAGACTACACAGAAATATGTTGGACTTAATGAATGGGAAACCTAAAAATTCTTAGATTTTCACTAATTTATTGGTTAAAAATCATTCTTCATGCTTCTTGGGCACTTGAAGCATTATATCTGATGAGGTGTTGTTAGTAGTACAGTCTACAGCAGTACAAAGTACAGTCTACTTTGTAAGTCTTCACCTCTGAGTTCAGCACTAACTGTGCACTTGTAATCGTTTTATATATGGTAGTTCAGTGCTCCAATGTGGGCAATACTATTTTGTATGCTAGAGTACTGGTATTGTTAAGTTTAAAAAGTAAAAAGCCCTGTGTGTAAATGGAATGTAGCAGGTACATGCTACATGGTTTAAGGCTGCTTTTCTTCTGTGTTACTTGAAAAGCTTCACTTTCTCTACTGTTCAATACTAAGCAGCAGCAGTGTATAGGCATGATATGTTCCAGGGTATATCATTCCTTTAGAGAAATTGTATGAAGTTGAATTTTGCTTGACAGGATTGTAACATTATCTTTTGTGTAGAGTGTAACTAAACCAGGTCCAGAGATTTCTCTGGAAAGTTAGCACTTTGTAGGATCATAATGGCCACCATTTACTTTCAGTTCTTGAACTGCACTAAGCTAGCACAGTGATTTATCCCATGGTCCAGTAGCCAAAAAGATGATTTAATGTGCTGTACTTATGTTTCAGGCCCTCACTCTCTTAAAGCTTGTCTACTGAACAGGTTTGAATGTGAGTTGGAGGTTTTTTTTAAATCCTGGATCATTTTACTGCTCCAAGTTAGAGATGCTGCACAGTGGCACAACAAATGTGTGGTAACCTATTAGAAGGCAGCAGGGCTGGGAATGAGCTACTGACTGCACACAGAAGTAAGATGCTCTTATACCAATTTTATTGTCAGCAAAATTGGCAGTGTGGAACTTCACAGTTTGGATTGTAGTTCAACAGATAATTTCAAGCTGGCATATACAGGCCAGAAGAAGCAATTCTAGATGCTCATTCCTGTCCTTATTCTGATTTAACCTGTAGGATATCGTATTTGTTTGAGGTAGTTTTTGGCCAGACCTCTCTGCTGATCTAGTTTCTCATGGCACAAAGAGTTAAGCTGGCTTATTGACAGGAATGATTAGGTGGGGAAGAGCAGAACTCTTCCTAGCAGTAACCAGACATTCATCTTTGATTTGATTGTCCCTAACTTAGAGTTTCTAGAGGAGTATTCCTTAATTCATTAGAATAATCAGAACAACTTAGTGTTCAAATTGTGTCCTTGCAGCACTGGGGGCAGGAGGAGGCATCTGGCTTGGTTTTTATTTTTGTTTTTTTTTTCCCCTCCTTGATGTCTTTGGAAGCTACCAGTTTTCAATTAATTGCTGCTGTAACTTGGAGATACAGTTTCTGTCTTCCCATAGTAAAGAGTGGGTGTACTTGGTAACAGTGAAAGCTGCAAATACAAAGTGCTGTGTTCCCTAAGAACTTTGGAATCTGTCTGCTTAAGAGAATTCTGAATGTTCCCATCAACACCAGCTTTATTGGGACGGTTGGGTATGTTGCTCATCCCACCTAGCTTTCTCCATTGACTTAATCCTGTCCGAGTTAATAGTAGCAGAGAGTGCTTCCATACTTGGAAATCAAAGTCTAAGGACATTTTTACCTCTGCAGGGTTTTGTTCCTCTCAAGCAGAATTGAGGAGAGGTGTTCGTGCTCGGTTTGTAGTAGGAAAACATCCTTTGTTTCTGCTGCATCGTTTCTTCCTTATCCCACCTGTACCCTCTTGGAGACATACTGCTTTATTCTTCTCTGGAAGCTGCATTTAGGTTGTCTGTGAAGCTCTTCATTCTGGCTGATACAGTAGAGCAATACTCCTGTTAACCACAGCTGTAATAATTATTATTGGGATGTCAGAGATGGGTGTATTTAAGGCTTTGTCCCAGCTGTGGCTTTGGTACCTGCTATCATCATCTCAAAGGTTTGATGTTTTCTAGCACCAGTTAGTTGAAACAACAACAAAAGTCTTTTTTCTAGAGTATTGTGGTTTTATCACAGTAATGTTCTCTGTGAGAAGAGGAATTATTTACCTTCTTCAGTCCTTCAGCGTATTTTTGTTTGTTAGAGGTGGCTATTTTTGGGAATCAGTTGTTACTGAAAGTAGTTATCTAAATGTAATCTCTAGATAAAATCTTTAGATAAAATATTTTTTTTCAGAAGAACTTTATGCTAGTTTTACTTTGCAGATCTGATCAGTTCTATTTACATACAGAGTTTGGAACCTAATCTTTAAGGTTTTAAAACCTGCCTCTGTGCATAGACTTGGATGAGTTGAGCAGCTTCATCTCACTTGCAGAACTGTCATCAGCTTTGAAAGATCAGAGAAATAATATTAGGGGCTGAATTTCATCCATCATATTTTTTGAATCTGCCTTTTTAGGGTGGCAGTAAAATGGTTAAGCAAATATAGAGACAAGAATTTACTTACTACCTAGCTGAATTTTCATGTCTGGTGTTCAAGGGAAACTGAACAATTTCAAATGCACTGTGCTCACTGCTCCCATGGTTGATCTGTATTTTTCAAAATGCAGCTGATTACTTCGCTGTCTGGAAAGGGAACTGTCTGACTAATTTTAAATTACAATGCTGGTTTTTTTTAAAATCTGAGCCTCTAGAAACTGCTCTTATTTTTTCACTCTACTATAGGTGGAAGATGATGTATTCAAAAAACTGACTACAGGGAAGAGAAACTGGGAAGGAAAAATAAAAGCCAAAACAGTTGTGAGATTTTTTTGAAATGTCCCATCAAATATAAATGCATTTTCAATTATATTGGTCAATCTTTGACCTCTTTTCAGTGGGAATAGCAAAACTTCAATCTACAATGAAGGAATTTCCTCTTCTGGAAAAGCATTTATTCTTTCTGGTTTTGGTTATCTAGAAATACCCCGGTCCTAACTTGGTTACTGTCTTTTCTGTTTTGTCTGGAAGAGCATAAAGCTCACAGAAGTCACCTGTCAAAATGAAGGAATTTAATAAAATGCATTTTCTGAACCTACTTATTCTGTTTTTACAGGCTGTTTGTAGTCTTATTTTCTATATATTTTTTGAAAATGCAATGCATGCCAATGAGTCGCTCTGTTTGGCTTGCATCTCTAAACAAAAGTGAAGACTTTGGTCAGGAAGTGTTTTCCCTGATTTTTCTCTATTAACATGCAATTAGCATATTAATTCCAGGGATATTAATGCTTGTCTTTATATTTAAACTTTTAAGTAGCATTCGTCTTTCCAGAGCTTTATGATCTTGACATTCTCCCCCAAAGAATTAGAAATTTAAGTCTTCTGCTTTTAATAGATGTAAATGAAGGGATTTAAATTCTCAAAACTACATTGTATAATATTTCATTGTAATAATTCTTAACAAAAATATTAAAATATTATATAGTTAAAGAACAAATACTTAAGCAATGTTAGGATTGTTTGATTTTATTTTTTTTTTTGTGAAGTACATATTTACATGTATGTACAAAAAAATCAACCTCGTATTTCTTGGAAGAGAGGAAGACAGATAATTTCAGATACGTATTAAAGAAATCCAACCACTAAACAGATTTATTCCCTCCTGGTTCTGAGAGAATTACTTTGTTGGGTTTTTTTGAATAGCAGCATGCATATTTTTTCCCCATCCAGGATCACATTGGTAGAAAAAAGAAATGAAAGGGTGTAGTAGGAAGAATACCTTTTTCTTAAAATATTTATTAGAGGAAATTAATTTTACTTGAAAAGTTAATTCACATTGGCTCGACAGAGAACACTGTTCTATCCACCAAAAACAGATCAGAGAACTAGTTATAAGCAGAGGTTAATGATAAGATGCTGAGGGAGCTAAATTAGGAAACAATGGTTAGAACAGTGTTGCAGGAGTTGGTTGGTGTTAAATTAGTTGACATGTAGTTGTCATTGATCTAAACCAAGAAGTAAATAGCATTTTAATTACATTTATGAACTAGCACAAAATTCAGAGCTGCTCTGAAGACAAATAATTAGAAGATGTAGCATGTATGGGGACACCTTTTATTGATTTAAATTTGCTCTAATGCAGAGTTCTACTCAAAGGGAAATGAGGAGTGGAAAAATTTTTGGAAAATAGTGCAGTAAACTCTGAAAAAGACTTGGGACTTGATACATCTTTTCTTGCAATGTGGTTTTTCTTGCAAGCTTTTACCTTATTTTGGTCGGTGAAATAAATAGTTGGAGGAATGACCAAAGCATTACATCATGGAAATTGCAGCTGCAACAGTGCACCAGGAAATCTACAGGCAAATCCCCTTGCAGGCAGTGTATTAAGATGTGGCTGAACCAGCTTGTAAAGGGAGGAAATGCTGTTCACAATGCTCATGTGCTAGGACAGTTAGGGCTTTTTGCCTTTCTAACTTCTTAACGTGGTAGTTAGAATAAAATTTGCATCTAGTTTGTTTTTTTTTCTTGTGTGTATGAAAGGACTAATTTCTGTCCCATCAGAGCCAAGGTGTTGAGTTTCGGTTAGTAATAAGATCCTTTGGAGAATAAACAATCTATTTAATTTTATACCGACCTTCTGCTGACCGTTACTTCTCATGTGCTTGTGTTCTCATTCTTCATGCTTTTTAATGTGCTCCTTTGTAATAGTGCAGTCCATTCATTATAGTACAAACAAAATATTTGTCCAGAAGCTGGACATTGCAAGTTCAAACATGTTTCTTTGGATCTCTCAAACAAACATCAAGGACTTCACTTCTTTGGGTTACTGTACTCTCATTGCATCGTGGTTGTATTTCAGGGTTTTGATTAGAAAAAATTGAAGCTTTGTGGGTTTTTTGTGGTGCATCTCTACGAGGTAACCCAGCCTTAAGAACAATAAAAAAAAGGAAATTTACCTCTATGTTCTATTAAATGTTTCCTTAAAACAGTTATCTGTTTTCAACTTAACAGTTCTGTAATGATGTTGGCATTGCAGATACTGCGGTATTGCCTTGGTGTGTGGAAACACTGTTTCTTATGTATACTTCTCAGCTGGTGAAATGCAAGAGTTGTATATACAAGTAAGCTCAATGTTAATATTCCTTTGGGTGTTTTTTAACGTTCTCTATAATATATTAATCTTCCTTTTTTTTCCCAATCCACTCAAAATAATTTTCTAGGTTATTCTTAAAAAGAGATGGGGTAAAATCAGTTAATAATTAAAAAAAGCCGAACACTGGTAGACAACTTTCCAGATTAGTCTTGTGGTTTGAAAGTTATGCAGCTCTAACAGATCTTACAAAGCTTAGTTTCAGCTTAATTTACAATCTTTTTGCCAATGTGTAGTGCTAATTGAGATATGACACACTGTGTGGTCACCTCAGCCAAAAACTTGTTAGTGGTTTAAATGTCAAAAGCATATTTAGAGTAGCCAGTCATCTTCTTTCCTGTGCGTTCCTCTGTGGAAAAAAATATCACTCTTATCTGTGTCCTTATTTGCTTTTTTATTTTATGTCTTATGTCTTGTAGGCATCCATACAGTAGCAGGCGCAGCAGGCCTATAGGGACTGCTTTATGAGAGTAATACAAGCATGTGATGGAGTACAGCTGAAGAATTACTGGGGCTGGAGTCCTGCCCTTGTCAAATGATTCAGTGCTTGTATTGGTCTTTGATTTTGCTCCACAAAACTTGCAGTGTGGACACTCCTGCTCCTGACTAGTTTATGATGTAAGGCACAGTATCCAGGGTGCATTTTAATGCGACTGGGGTGTCTTGTGAAACATGGTGAGCCCTGGAATTGTGTCATGTGGGAAAATGTGCCAAGGGGATGGGTTACTCAGTACGTTTGGTTGCTTTGAAACCAGATGTCCTTCAGTACTTTGTCACTTGGACATAAGACAGGGGAAAGGGTTCCTGTGGAAGCGTTAGGAGCAAGGACTTTTAAGGTTTTAGTGGTATCTACATAAAAGTACTGTGACTTCAGATAGTAGTGCAGACAATCTGAGTTTTTGGCATGCCAAGTTCTTTGAGAACTATGCTTGGTGCAAATCCATTCATGTATAAATCTCTCTTTTCCCTAGGGAAAGGAAAAAGTACTGCAAAAATTAGTATGAAGAACCATATCAGCTGGGACTCATTGGAATGTCTAAGCAGAACTCATAGAAGGGAAAATAAGTTTCTATTCGTCTTTTAACAAGTATACTGTAGCCATATCTGACATACATATTTTTTTTGTGTGTGTCTATTAGCTGAAATAGATAGAATAGATGGAATCCCAGGCTGCCTGCAGCTGCCCCATGCCACTTCATTCTTGTCTGTTGTACTGGCTCAATTGTTTGTGCAGCTGTGCAGTAAAACGATTCTGCCGGAGCAGGGAAGACTATATATTTATAATTTGTATATATATTATAATATTTATACATTTGTTTAAGCAGCAGGCTATTTTTCAGCTGGATCAATTACCTTACTCGTGACAAGGCCTCCCGTGCATCTCTGCCAGCATACTGGGGAGCCAAGGCCCTGGAGGATGAGTGCAGCCTTCAAATGCCTGGACTCGTAGTGATTGCAGAGAGGAGGAGCAGGTCTGAAATGGAAATTAGAGCAAGTCAGGACCCCTTGCTGCTTATTCGCACCGCTGAAATTATTACTGTGCATATCCCTCCATGGAGAAAGTTGTGCCCTTCAGAATTGCTGTTGGATTTTCTAACTTGAGAGGGAATGCTGAGCTAATTAATTAGTTAACTTAAGTATGTTGTGTAATATATCAAAATTAGTTAGTACACAGATGTTGTGGTTGCACAGAGTATTTTTAATACAATTTTTTTCCCCTACAGTTACCCCCATGAGCAGCTTTTTTTGCTATGTTGTCAAGCAATCGTACTGGCATCTAAAATCAGACTGCCATGTCTATCAGAAATGTAGGAGACTTCTCCTTCATTAGTGCTAAATAGAATGGGGTAAATTACTGTGTGTTAACTACGGAGTATTGCAGACTGAGGGTTTGCTCCTGGGCAATTACTGCAAGGCTATTGCTGTGTGGCAGTGCCATCCTGGGATAGTTTAGCCCTGTCTCAAAGCTCTGTGATTCCTAGAAATGAAGCAGGGTAAAACAGCCTGATTGTGGAGTGTCAGTCAGTTTAATTCAGTTTATGATGAGTTTTTTAGCTTGGCTTCTGAAGAAAATGAGTCATGCTGTCCTTCTGTCCCTACCGCTGTAGATCTTAAGTCTCTTGACTACTGTGAGGAAAAGGTTATAAAATCTCAGAGAACTTCTATATAACTAGGTGCCCAGGACATGAAGGATGCTATTTAAGTTCCCTCTCAGGGAAGGGGTGCAGCACAAGTTCGTTAGACTCTAGAATATTCATATGGGAGAAACAGATATTATGAATTCATGGACTACAGAAAAGTTGTACCCAGAAAAGTTGTACCTAGAGCATGTCTTGTATCGCGAGCTGAAGTTCTAGGAAACAAGGCTCTACTGACAGTGAACGTGAAACTACTTGTTTTTGTTTTCTTTATGACTTTTGAGGCTCCCAGCATCAGACCATCAAGCTGTAGCAACTCTTTAGTAACCAGATTGAAAGGCTCTTAGAAATGCAAGCCTGAAAGAATCCTGCAGGTGACTGGTGAGGCTGCAGTAGCACCGGGAGCAGTCAGTCTCCATTTTGGATGCCTGACTCTGTTGCTATTCTGAGTTGCTCTGTGCTGTGCTGTGCTGCTTAACTTCCTGCTGTTTTCAAGCTACTTAGATGATCAGTCCCCTGCTTTTTTTAAAGCAGCTGCTCTTGTGGCAAGATTCCTTTCAGTCGGGAGAGCGCATAGTAACAAAGGCACATTTTATTCCCTGGTGGGGGGATGTCTATCTGTAAGTATGATAAGAGCCCAATGCCAGGAGAAGGCAGTGGTCAACTGCTGCAAAGTAGCCGGTCTTTTTCTCTGCTCTAAACCATAACTGTATAACTCAAAGAAATTCCGTGTCAAAATCTGTGAGGAAGTTTAGGTTAAGACTGAAATGGAGAGACACAAGAAAAGATAACTAGCCAGCTTCCTTAGTGATTGAAAAACAAAACAACAACCAAATTGCCTTCTCTGCTGCCTGTTAAATACCTTTTTGAAACATGTGTTGTTCTTGTAGTTCTCCTCTAACTGCTGCTGCTTGCTATTTATCCATGAATAGCTTGCTCCTAGGTGGAAACCCAGGTATTTGCAAAATATGAAGTAATACATCTTGAGTGGTAAACAAAAGACAGAAGCTTGATGTCACCAGCTCCTCACCTGCTGTAATTTAATTAACCTTTCTCTAGTACCTCTGGAAGACTAGTGTTAAAATGCTCAGGTTGATGCTTTGTTCTTGAGAAGAAACATGTTGTCCCTAGTTTTCCTGTCAATGTATCAGTGTTTTACTAATTTTTGCTCTTCTGATGGAGGAGGTGAGATATGAGGGACAGATACTTTTAAAACTTCCAGCTGAGTGGGGCTGAGATGAAAAAGGAGTAAATGAGGTAAATAAATCATTCATTTCAGTAATGCTATGCTTTTTTTAGTTCATCTCATCACATCTCATAACTGGTTAAGTTTGTATTTGGGAAGAAATGTGTTCATTTTCTTGGGGATTTCAAAAGCCTTCATAGAGCCTCAGATTTCCAGTTCATACTGTTGTGCTTCCAACAGCTGATAAGATGGAACTCCCACTGGAGCCTGCGGATGCTTTAGTTAATTGGCTAGAGGGCCCACTGAGGGAAGTGTGTGTTACAATATGTATGTACCTGGTGTTCTGTCCTCAGGTTCTTGCTTGGAAAATCAAGACTGGTTTTGGTACAATGCTGCTTGTAAATACTAATGCAACTTTGTCAGGCTTCTTTAAGTTGTTGCAATATATTGAAAGAACAGTCTTCACCATAATCTTTGTTTTGCTGTTGCCTGCACGCTTTTAAGTCTGTAATGAAAACACTGACTTAATATTTTCTTTCAGTCTCCAGAGGGTGCTGAAGGCAAGGATGCAGCAAAAGTAACTAAACAAGAGGCAAGTATATATATAGAGATATAACTAAATTTATTTTGGCATGGAATTATTTAACTGGACCCCTGCAGTCTTGCACATCAGAAGATTATGTGTTTCTCTGGCACTTCTGTTGAGGTGTTTTCAGTGGGAATAATGACAATAGACTACATTTTTACCCTATCTGACATAATTTAGTTTTGGCATACTGAGGATTTATAGAACTTATTAGTACACCAAATAAATTTCAGAAACGTGTAGGGCTTTGATAGACAAGCTCTGGTGGATCTTGTGGCAATAGTGTAGGGTGTTACCGCCTGAAATTGTTGCTCTGTCTTTAGTGGATTGGCAGAAGAGGCCTAATGCACCCACCTCAGACAGTCTACTTCAAAACTATTCTTAGCTTAAGTGACTGATGGAAGGGTGTATTGAATTAAGGTACTAGACTCTAAACTGGAGCAGCTGACACATTTGTGTGGTTTCTTTAACTGAGTTTGTTTAAGGACACAGTAAATTCTGTCAGAGAAGGCAAGGAGAGATGTGGTGATACTTTGATGTCTACAGTAAGTTTGCTAGTTTATTTGTCACAGCCTGTAGTAAAAAAACAGAGAGTTATGAGAATTTGTTTTCTTAGGTTTTCATCTTTTGTGGCAGAAAAAGTTAAATCAGGATCTTGAAAAGAATGGGTGAATATTCAAATGAATTAACAATTAACTGCTCTACTTGTAAGCATATTTGAACAGGAAAATAGCAGGTAAACAGTTGACATGCTCTGTAGTTTACTTACTTGACAAGAAAATTTTTTATAAGGCTTCCCGAGAGATTCTCAAGGAAACTAAGGTAGCATGAATTAAAAGGAAGATTTTCCCAAGAATTTGTAACAGATAACTTTTGAGAAGAGAATGGAGAAGTGGTAGTTAATTTTCATAATGGAGGAGATTTGTAAGTGAAGTATTGGAAGGATTTATGTTTGGGCTTGTGCTGCTGAATATATTCATTAATGATTTCTAGGAGAAGAGTTACTAGAGAAATGGCAAAGTTTGCTGGAGCTTGCAGAAAATACTAGGATAGTCAGAAATGAGAGAGGATGAGACAGCTTTATGTCACTGGTAAATAAGTGATAAAATATCAAGAGCAATTCAGTGTGGAGAAGTGCAAATTAATACATGGAGGGAGGGGAAGACAGTGGTGGTCACCAGATCAGCTGTTAATTGGGGGAGAGATTGTAAAATCATAATGAATAGTTACTAGAAAATGTCAATAGTTCTAAATAGAAAATAACTAGAAAATAGGAAAAAATACTAGAGGACAGAATAAGCATCAATGTAGATTAATTTGTTGCATTCTCAGATACGGGACTACTAAATGGAGTTCTCCTGATAGAGGCCATGATAAAATTAAAAGGATACCCAGTACAGGGGGACAAACAGAGGATGCAGAGCAGCTTTTAAAAAAAGGCAAACAACCAAAACTAAAAAAACAAACAACACAGTTTTTCTAGGATTCTTGATCTTTTATATAATGGAGTTGTGATAAAATAATTAGTAACACAGAGAAAGGCAATTAGGGAATTACTACTCATGAAACCTGTAAACAAGAAGAATCTAATGAAAGTAAGAGGCAAGAAGTTTAAAGGAAAGACAGTGGAGCGGTAAGGTTTTGCTTTTTCTTTTCCACACAAATCATAATCCCATTATGGAACTCAGTGTCACAGCATGTTATGCAAACTGAAAGTGTAAATGAGTACTAGGTTATTAGACAGATTTGTGGAGAAAATAACTCTTAGGGACTATTTAAACACATGATGTGTATATGATATCCAGGTTGGAAAGTTGGCAACTTTAGATAGCCAGGATCTGGTTCAGCAGGAGAGTGCAGGGTGTTGTTCTGTCTGCTCCTTTTCACAGACTCTTCTGTAGATGTTTGCTGGTGGGCCAGTGTCAAACAGACTGTTGGGTGAGTTGCTAGTGTCTGGGTTAGTACAGCTGTTTGGAGGGGGACAAAGATTCCCAAAGAACATTAAAATGTGATCGTTGCTGACTTGGCTCTAGTTCCCTCCTTATACTCAAATAACACAAAATAGATACAAACTCCAAATGAGAGTACTTAGCTGCCAGGCTTTTTTAAGAACTTCTGGTTTATGCTGACTTTCTTATGGCAAAAAAGCCTGCTGTGAAACTAGTCATGGAACAGTCAGGAAGAGTTGGGAGATATGGGAGACAATTATAATTTATATAAACCAACATATTATCCTTTAAAAAATAGATGCTAACAAAGCATTTCAGTTCCTAAAACCTGAGGGATAGAAATCATTGGTTAAGAAAGCAGATTTGTAAAAGACAATACCTTGCACTAGGAGTTCTTTCATTACCTGACCAGCTGAAATGCTTTGTTTAACCTGTTGTAAAATAGGCTAGGCTGCTAACAGGCAGTTGATATTCTAAATTGCCAAGAAGAGAGGTTTACCTTTTTTTTTTTTGTTAATGATGCATAAATATTTCATAGCTGAAAATATCTTTAGGTGGTTCTTGACAGGAATTCTATTTTGCTGGATGCAGATTTGAACTATTCACTACTGCTTTCCACTAAGAATACTTAAATGCCTCCAATGAATAAAGTTACTGCTTTCTTCAGATATTAACATAGCTTTTTCCTGTTGCAGGGTGTGTGGAGCCATATTTTTCCAGCTCAAATTAAATGCTTAATATGTAATTAAGTTGATATTTTAGATTAATTTTTTAAGCTGTGTTATGTTAGATATTTGTTGCAGTTGAGTTGTCCCTTGATTTTGGCTACAGGTGTGATTCCAGTTTTATGACACAAACCAAACTTTAACTCAGTTTAATAACCCTACTTTGTAACTTGGTTAATCTATTTTAATTAATACAAAAATACTGTGAACAAACTAAAGAGCTGACAACTACTTCTAAAACCTAACTGCAGTAATAAATTTATGACACTGAAATAAAATCTAGTAAGGAAAGTGTCTTGAAGTGATTAAGCTGGAGAGAAACAGAATATCTGGCTTGATTCTTTCCTTTTCAGAATTGTGTTTAAATAGAAAAGATAATTTCTCCCTCTGATCCTGCAGCTGTCTTTGTGCACCTGGACTCAGACTGAGTGTGTAGGGAACTGAGGAAGTGGAAGGACTTAGTTTCGTATTTTGAAATTTTAGCACTCTGATAGCCTCTAGAGAAGGACGTTAACTTCATTCAGCTGTTAATCAGATGGTATTTGTACCCACTATTACAAGTAACATCTGCTAGATTCTAGAAACATAATTCTGAGTATGTATGAGGAAGGTTGAGAGTTCTGTGCACAGGTAGTTAAGGTATTTGTGAACCTTTCATAGAGCAGAAAGGGACTCAGAAGTACTTATAAAAGGATGTGTGTGTGAAGTATTTAATTGTATGGAGATTTAGATGTTATAATTTCTGAACAACTTTAATTTCTAATTTTCACGTCACTTTGTCCATTTAAAATTTTGAGTGTCCAAAGTGAGGAAGATGCAAATGGTGCTTGGCAATAGACACTTATTTTAGTAGAGGCATATTTTACGCTGTCCTCCTGAAATGACTGATACTAAATCACTTTAGATACTTTTTGCTGTGAGCCTATAAAAATGTTTTCTTTTTTTTTTTCTTGTAGCCCACAAGGCGATCAGCAAGACTGTCAGCTGTAAGTATGTAGAGCACCTCTTGGTATATTCTTTTCTAGGCACTTACAGTTTCTCAGACCGAACAGGTTTGTTATGTTTTCCTTGATTCAATTTTTATTCTTGCTGAGGGGTGTTTAAGAACTCTAGCACTGAAGTTATCTATGTTTCCTTGGCTTCAGGTTTCAGGTTGTTCTGACAAAAGATGTATTTCCCCATCTCAATGCAACACTGTCTTTTGGGTGCGGTATTGACTTTGTATCATTTTGCAGGCTGATGTCAATTGTGGAAATGCAGCTACTTTTCTGGGAAGGAGAAAGAGCTGTCTTTCATGGACTTCATTTGATGCCATTGCTAGTATTTGGTTTTAGTTCCTCTTCTCTGTTAGGACATAGCTGATCGTTTGTGGCTTTTGTTTTTTTTAATAGTTACTACTAATCTCCACATTTTACTCTTAGAATGACCCCCAAATTACTTTTCTTTTCTAGATAAGTGAGCTAATACAAACAGCTGTGAATAGAGATGAGGTGCATTTGTGCATAAAGGCTTTTCTAGCTTTTTCTAGATTCATACTACTGAGCAGGAAGTAAGGGAAGCTGTGGGGTGGGGACAAGCTGAGTGTGGAGGTGGCTGACTGACTTTTGGTATTGTGTCTAACACGTTGTGCAACTAAAAATGTTTTATAGAAACCTGCCCCACCAAAACCTGAACCCAAACCAAGGAAAACAACAAAGGTAAATAACTTTCTCTTTAGTTACCATCATTGCAGTCAATAGTAAGCAAGTATACTACTACTTTGCATGGCAAACAGTTCAGTTTACAGCATTTTTTGAGGCATGGGCTTCCCTGCCCTCTCTGCAGCTCCCTGCCCCTCCTTGCTGGAAAAAACCCATAGATTAGATCATTCTTTTCTTTTTGTTCCACCCCTTCCAGGCCTCATTACTGGCCCAAAGAAAATGTCTTGCCTGTTTGATATGCAAACCATGTTAGTTTTTAGTGAATGGTTAGTTTAAGAAGAATTTTTACCTTTCCTGTACCTTTCCTGAAAAGTACGGGTTTGGTTGAGTAAGTTCTACCTGAGACCTAGTAATTTCTACAAAAGGATTTGAGATTACTCAGTGCCATCCTGTTTTCTTGTCTAGAGACACTCTAGACAAGAGTTTTCTTGTAGTGAGAAACTTTTATCTGTTCTTGAAGCCTGACTGTTGTTGAGAATGCACAATTATAATTAAAGGTGAAATTAAATATATTTAAATTGAATGGTTTGGGTTTTCTGGGCCATTTACAGTCAAATTAAAATCCTGTTAGTGTCTGAAATACCTTTTCAGGATTTCTGCATATAAATCATGTACTTCAGAAACTGTAGATTTATTTGTGCCTAAGGGGGATGTTAAATAAGAGCAACTGCTTTATTGAAGAAAAAAACCCACCCCACATGTTGTAAACTGAGTTTAGCACTTCTCACTCTTACATTTTTCAAGTCCTTTTATTGGCATCTCAGTTGGGCAATTACCAGAATACAAAGTCTGTATGTGAAAGTAAAACTCTGACTTTGAATGCTTTGTGATTTATCAAATTAAATTACCAGTAAAGTCCTCCCTGGTCCATCCTGCTCCCCTCTTAAAAAGAGAATTAATAAGGAAGGGAATGTAGTAGCTTCTGTAGCTTCAAGTACATGTGAGATGATCTCAGTGTTACAGACTCAGTCTAAGTTGGATGAGAGATGTTTGAAATTCATTTCAGGTGACTCAACATTACTCTGAGTAACTCTTTAATATGATAATCTCTTTTTTCCAAAGTCTAACTGGATCACATTTTAAGGAGCACATTAATCTTTGTGTCCTAAACACAAATCAGCAGAAGTGTGTACTCTGTACCTGCTAGCAAACAACCAAATATGGTACAGATTTGAGATAATTTTTAGTGTTAAAAGCTTGCACATTATGAATTTACTAGGGCAACTTCTTAGCTTGCTCTTCTGTAGGTGATCAGAGTTAGGACTATGCTCATAGCACTAATAAGCTTCCAAATGATACACCACAGCTGCTGTGTAACACTGAAGCTGAGGGGTGGAAGAAGTAATTCAGACTGCCCTGGAACTAGGATTACTGGCATTCCCTCCCCAGTGCCCCACTCCTCTATGGGGATCAGTGGGGAAAGGTAGTTAATGGAGACAGACCTTAATATCCCCATTCACAACTACTATTGCTATTCTGCATGGAAAATTTAGAGCAAATGATCCTATAAAAGATCTCCAGTGTTTGTCAGAACTGCTTTAAATACTAATGTAAAATATTAAATGCAATAAATACCATTTAAATTTTTGTCCCATTGCACTTTAAATCCTTAACTTATGTCTCTACTAACCTTTAGTTTGCAAACATAAATAGGTAGAGCAAGGATTTATGAAAAATAGTAGACTTCAACATATGAATTGTTTAAGAGCAAATCTCCAAATAAAACTGTAGCTGTTAGAATAGATCCTTTTGATAAATTCTGTTTTGTGTTGCTGCAGATGGAATTTTATTGGTGTTTGCCGCGTTAGTGTGTTGGTTGGTTCTTTCATTGACATGGTATTACCATCATAGATGTTATCAAAGTAACAAAAGGACAGCCAACAAAAAAGCTTAATTTTTAAAATCTAATTTAATATTTCATGTTAATCGAAAATGTAGTGCTGTTACACAAACAGTGTGGTGTTTTTGCTTGACTGAATAAGCTTTCAATGTACTGTAATTGGATTTGTTCACACAGATATCTTGTATATACCTCTGTATAATACAGCTCAGCAATACCAGAGTAGTCTGATATGGTTTTATATCCCTGTAAAAATAAGGAGAAACATTAAAGATGCAGACACCACCGTTTTCTAGAAATGTTGAGAGTCACTATAACTTCTGTGGATTTACATTTTCCAGGTTGCCTTTAGCTGGTTTTCTGTTTTAGTCCATCACATGCAGCTTGCCAAGATTTGCTGTTTAGTTCATGTAAAAGTTTTTTTTTATAAAGGTGTAGGGTTCTGGCTACTCATACAACGCCTGTACCTGTGTTTTTAATCTTCTGTCAGAAGGAACCTGGAACAAAGGCCAGCAAAGGTGCTAAAGGGAAGAAGGATGAAAAGCAAGAAGCTGCAAAGGAAGGTACTACACCATCTGAAAATGGTGAAAATAAAGCTGAAGAGGTACTTTCCACACATACCTCTTGCTGATTGAATCAGTGTTTTTTAATTATTCAGCCTTTCAGACATTGCTAGCATTTTCATAATGTTTCTTTTTATTGCCCATAATGTTATTGCAGATTCGCATCTCTCGCTCAACTGTTAGTGTTTCAACATCCAGAGGTGCCCCACCCAGCACACTGTCAGTAAAAGGGCAGATTGAAACAGTGAAAGTTAAGGGTGCGGTAGAGCATTCAGCATGTATGCAGTGACTAGAAACAGGTGGTAGTGTGGTGCTTTTCAGTATGAACCATGGAGGCTGACAGGTAAGGCTTGTATTGCTTTTGAAAAGCTGGGACCGATAAGTTAAGAAAAGTGTGTGACTGTACCTGTTCCAGTTGCATAAATGTCATGTGGACATAGGTTTGAACCTGAGCAGTTGCAAGTAAGAAATGTCAAAGGGATAAGGATAGTTTGGGTATTTAGGTGCATAATGGCAATTTACTGTAGTAATTTAATTTCTTTCTTTCTTCTCCACAGGCTCAGAAAACTGAATCTGTAGGTGACAAGAACGAATGAAATATCATGAAAATTTTGGGTTGATTTTATGTACCTCTTGGACAACTTTTAAAAGATATTTTTATCAAGTATTTTGTAAATGCTAATTTTTTTAGGACTATGATAGTTGACATATTAAACTGTATATGAACATTTCCCTTCTCATAACAGTGCTTTTAGAAATTCCCATTGTTGCCAAGTAATATAAATATCAACTTAATATTGCAAGGTATGTGTAAAATTGGATCAGCATTCCATACACTTGCTTTCAGACATTAAGTCTTGTGCATATGGTGATGTTTTTACTGTGCGTATTTGAATTTTTCATGCAGTTTTTCTAGAGCAATAATCAGTGGTGCTTTTGTACTTAGGGTTTATGTGATTTTAATGAAACATGGATAGATGTGGCCACCTGCTGACTATTTTGGGTTCTTTTAATGGATTAAAATAAAAGGTCTCCTTGCCTGCAAAACTACAGCCTCCTAATGTTTTCTCTAAATCTGAGGAATGCCTTACTCATATCTTCGACTGTTATAAGGAAGACTAAATGATTTAGTAACAGTTGTTTTGCATGCAGTCTGTTTGCTTTTTTCACATATGTCTGATTAAAAACCACCCACGCAGGAGTAGCAAACTGGCATTTTCAGTGGCCCACAACTTAAGGGACTTACAGATACATTCTTCATAGATACATTCATCAGGTGTACTGTCACAGGGTGAGTAGAGTTGCCGTGCTCTGTCAGGATATTGCGTCTGTGATGAGTTACCAATACAGAATGATTTGCTCATTTGATAGAGACATACAATAATTTAAAAGTAGCTTTGTTTCTCCCCCATTCTCTTTTCATTAACTTGCACTGTACTCTGTGGAAACCTTTCTTTCTATCTGCAGCCTCAAATTTAATATAAATAGTAATTACTGTTCTGCTTCAGCTGAGGACAGTTGTTAATACATTGAAATTGCTGTTAAACAGCGCTATATATTTGGTACCTGGTAGAAATGGAACAATGAAAGTTATTTTTGAGGTGATTGTGATGATGTGGTAGATTAGCTAATGATTTTTAGTGTCCATGTTTCAACTCCACAGCTCATTCTAAGCGCCTTTTACGATTTTTCTCTTTCTCTTTTCTCTAGGGGCCCTGGTATTTCAATTGTTACTTCTGGGATGGGAGGGGTCAAAGAAAAGATGTTCCCTGTTCTTCAGTAGCATTGATTTGTATTGCTCAAGTGGTAGCCATTATATCTGAGGATACCTTTTGCTTGTTTAAGTTGATAAATAAATGACTGTTGCCTGACCTAGTGTTCTGTTTATTCTTTGGGAAGAAATCTCTCATTGCCTTTTCTAATTAAAATTGAAAAGAAGCCAAGCATATCTGCACTTAAAAGTTGAAACTTGATTACCAAAACTCTACATGCTAGCTAGAATAGGAGTTAAGACCTGCATTGAGATAAATGTCACATACATTTTTTTGATAGGCTTGCTACATCCACAGAAGAGAAGGCTGTTCTCTGCAGCATAAACTCAGTTTTGGAAGAAAATTTAAAGTAATTCTCTGCTTTTGGTGGTTGAAGGCAGAAGGCTGTAACAAAACCTGTAGCCAATGAGAAGTCCTTAATGTTACTCAATTATGTGTATTTGGTAGTCCTACACAGTACTTCAGATTTGCTTTCTGATGGACCCTGTTGAAAGTCTGTCAGTTTAGAAACTGCAGTCATGGGAAGTTGAACTGTGTGAACTTTTTCACAGGATCATCAAAGTGCTGTTTCTAAGCATTTGTTGATTTATGGGGGTTTTGTTGCTCTCTGTGTGCGTATGCTCTGATCATTTTGTTTGGATCACCAAGACATTAATTGCCTTAACCTGACTAGGCAGTCGGAGTTCTTGAACTGGGCATGAGCATCAGAAGACACAGTTCTCTGGACTTATTTTAGGAGAGCTCCCTTTACTAAATGCCTAAAAAGTGGGCAAAAGTTTGGTCCTTAAACTAATGGCACAATATCCTGACCTAATAATTTTGGGTCAAAATTATTCTGTTGTCTCAACCAGATTAGGAGATTCAGCTCAATGCCAGAATTCCCTTTGAAGCATTAAACAACAGAAAATCCACTTGGGTGAAGTGTAGTAAAACACAGATCCCGCTGATTCACTTAACATTCCTGCCTTTTTAAAAATGCTTTGTAAATGTGTTGCTTTCCTGTATTTTTTCTCTACTTGTCAAGTTCTCAGAGAAATCTTCAAAGCACTGTATCAAGTTCTAGAACACATTTTTAAAATTTAAGTGGTCACACATTCAGATGTATGTAGTGGGAGTCTTCATGGGCAGTAGGTGATCCACAGAGTGCCTTCAGGAAGTATGTAAGTAGTTTAGTTGTGAAGTGGCACTTGAAAGTGCCAGGTGCTGCAACTTTGCCATAAAGAAACTTGCATCATCAGAATTTAATGACTGGCTGCTCTACACTTAAACACAAGCTTTGGAGGGATCCCTGAAAGTGGTATTGTGGGATGTAACAGATGGGTAATTCAAGGTACATTAAAAAAAAAAAAAGGGTAAGGATAGACCATTTTTTTTAAGTTTAAAGAAGGCAGGTACATCAGAAACAAGACTTAAAGAATGATCAAAAAGTTAGTCTTGAGTAGTTATAAGTTCCCCTTTCCTTAGCTTTATATAATTTCTCTTGGTTGTCACTTTCTGCTACTTCCCTGTCGTTGACTGACCTTGGGCTAATTGCATATGTCAGCCCAAGGTTACGCTTGGTATTTTGTCTCTTCAAATGGCAAAGGCAGCTTTTTCTGACCAGAGAAGTGCAGATGAGATGCAAGCATTTAACGGGAATGCTAATGGAAAATTAACCCTTGTGCTAAACAGCAGTGAAAATTGTTTTGGTACATTTTGCTCAACTCTTGAAAATTTGAGAGTTATTTGGTCTGTTCATAACTGCAAAAAGAAAAAATAGGGAAAAGTACTAGCAAGACAATAAAGATCCCCTGTTTGAGTAAATAACATGAAAGTTAAATATCTAGTGGAATAGGAAAAGGGTTTTTTTGTTTGGGTTGATTTGGGGGTTGTTTTTATATACTCAAATGATTTTTTTTTTTAATGTACCTTTAGAAGGGAAAAATAAGATCACTTAAATGTTCAAGAGAGTACATATTTTAAAGTCAAAGCAGTCCTATAAACTAAGGTATGCATCACAACACCAAGCCTCAACAACCGCAATGTTGATTAAATTTCTACTGAAATTATACAAAATTTATATAACCATAAAGAGATTATGAACTGAGAAACAAGTGGCTGTTTTATATTCCATAAAGGTAAGGTGTCATCAGATGAGAAAGAGGAAAATAATTTGAAATGGGAGCTTATGTATCTTTTAAATTAATTGCTTTTGACCTGGCTCCCTTACTGGACTTGTACTTTCACTTGTACCATTGTATCTGGCATAGTGCTGGGCCAATGACTACCATCAGATTTAAAGCAACCATTTAGCCCACTATGTCTGTTTATATTAAATGAGACAGTAAACTTCTAAATGCAAATCAAAGCACACAAAGATACAGGAGGCTGTCTATAAACAAGTTTGGCATAGCAAGAACTTTGTCATCCTCCTGGCTTAAGGTTTGTTATCTCATATTTGTAGTTAACTGTGAAGAATACTTTCACTGCTGGTTAAATTGCTGCATACATAATGATCAGGAGATGCACTAGAATGTTCTGTGCCATTATTTTTGGTAAAGGCAAGAATTTGCCACTGCTCTTCTCTGTAATAAACGTACTTTTTACTTTATTTGGAAACTGAACTTGCCATAAAGCTGTTATTTGGCTAGCTATAGCCAAATTGGCTTGCCAAATTGCCAGCAACTGCCTTCTATAATGTCCAATTCTACAGTTATAATAGATCAGAATGAAATAGTTAATGGTTTTCCCATAAAAAAAGGACAACATAAGAAGTAAACTGTTTTGATACATTAGTCCTTTCATGGTGACCCACAGTATTAACAATAAAGTAGTTCATATGTAACAGGCAGAGACTACCAGGTGTTTGACTAGTACAGCAAAATAAGCACCTTCAAAATAGCTATAAATGAGTTCTGTTGAAAAATAACTAACACTACATTTCAAATTTGTCTGTTGATACAAATTAGTCCCTCCCTCCAAATATGAATGGAAAATTATATTTGTGTACCTGAAAATGATAAAGCTAGTAATTTAAATTCATGCTCAAAAAATAAACTTGAGTGTGTGAGGCCATTGTGCTTAATTTTAGTGCTGCATTTATGTTACAATAGTATAACTTGTAGAAATTGTTTTATCACTGCTTTGATTCTCATTCGGAAATAAATTTTAGTCTTGGAGCCCATAAAAACTGAATTTACACTGAACAATTTCAGGTTCTAAGCTATCTGATATGAATCTTCAAATAATGAACAATTTAATGGAAAGCAATATAATTTAAAATGACAATGCAGTGACTGGAAAGAATGATCTTGTCAAAGTCCTCAGTCTATTTCTAAAATGAATATAAAATGTAGGAACTGTAGTTCCTTGCAAAATAAAACTTGTAGAACAATAACTTTTGCCTCATCCCGAGATGAAGCTTGAAGGGCACTCGAAGCTTTCTTTAAAAGAATTAAAAAAAAAAAATCTCATTTCTAAAAACCAAACCACAACCCTCCTGGCTTCTGCTGTTATATATAGATGTATATATTGGGTATATTCTGTAAGAAGTTGGAAGATACGAACTTTTAACATGAGGGGGTTCATAACCATTGGAGATGAAGCATGTGATGTATGTATATCAGTTGCATCTAGAATAATTGAGAATAAGAAAGGAGTAGCAGTACTGGAGAATTTTTGTGATTCTGTTCATAGTCATTTTATAGATGACTGCATGTTATTCCCAAGAGGGAGGAGTGTTGCTACTGCAGCAGCTGGGGGCTGTCCCACAGTGAGGTTGGAAGAAAGTTTCCTGGTGG